TGGGCACAGAGGCTTTGAATGTCAGTAATCATATATCTGCTTAGAACTGTAATTAGAATGAAAATCCAAATGAACTCAGATTTAACAGAGATTTATGTGTCTATACTTGGATCATCATCTGTTTGCCACCCACACAGGATTTCAGCCCTTAATGCTTTCTCATGCGTAATGCTGTCACACTTTCAGATATATTTTATTTATAACCTATAGCATGTTTAAACAGCAGAAGTTGACACAAAGTGCCAGAAACCCAGTTTCAAAATAAATAAAGGCTGAAAAGTGTATTTTGTCGTGTTAACTAATTATTCAGTGACAGCAATACTGACCCTGTATTTATTTGGTATCAGATCGATACCGAAATCGACGTTATCACACAGGACTAACAGATATCATGACACCACTTTGGTAAGTTCAGACAACGCATGGATCAGCCTATGTCTGCCAGATGAAGTGTTGTTGGAATAACAAAAGGTCTTCTACATCACTGCCCTGACAGCAGCAGCTGTACTGTCTGACTTCCAACCAGCTCTTATACAACATGCATCCTGAGTATGAGGGGTGGAAGTGATCCAAAAGCATCAGTAAAAGCAGAGCATTGCAGTTCTCCTTTATGCATTCCTGTTTATCATTAGGCAGCCGCTATTATGTAATTTCAGAACTGATCATTTAATTTAAGCACTGCTGCTTTTTCTCCAGGTGTGACACGATTCATCTCTCTTGCAGGCTTCCATCCACACCAGTCGGACAGGTTGCGGTGAAATCGGTGCTGCTTCAGAAAGCAGCTGGGCCAGTGGAGGCTGAGCAAGCTGTCAGAACCAGCACTGAAATGCAAATCCCTGTGGTAGACTCCTACGGTGAGCGGACAAATGTATTTGATCATAATTCACTCCAATCGTCTGCCTATATTATCTCTTCTTCATTTTATTGCTTTTAAATTTTACATACATGCTGGTCTAAAGCGCATGCACAGGTATGACATCACAAAGATCAACTGAAAGTAAAATAAAATGATGAAAAATTGCAGTTCAGCTTCATAAAAGTGCTTCCCC